CAGGGCCTCCACCTAAATGGGTTCAGCCCAGCCGACCCGATTGCCATCGGGCATACCGAGGCGATCCGTGTCGGCCGGACCTATTTTCAGTGATGGGCCTAGAGCTAGTGCTCCAGTAGCCCCTATGTTAATCCGGCTCTGTTTAGCCCTCGTTCATACTTTGCAAGTTGAAATGCTTGGGCCATCACACAACAATGCGCGACAAAAGAAATTTCATTATTTTCTATGAGGCCTGTTCATGCCTAAATTGCGCTGAAGTGCGACTTTGCAAAAGGTGCAGTTGCTTCTTTTGGTACTACATAGTGTGTTTGCAGCCCCATAGACTTATATGTTAATGCGTTTAAGAAGAACTTTTATTAACCCTTGCAGTGCGGGGGTAGCCTGCACTGCTCGTTTGTTTCTATTTGATAAAAAAAAAAAGTATACTCACCCGATCATTCCAGTCGGCTTGTTTTCAGATCGGGTCACTAGAGCCTCTCTCCCCCTCCTCTGCAGCAGTCGAAGAATCCTTGAGTCATCACGTTCTATACAAGTGTATAGACGTGAGCAACATTCCTATATGTGCAGAAGAGGAAGAGACACACTTCAGTAACCAGAGAAGCAGGGAGTCAGCTTGGCAGATCGGGTGACTATAACTTTTTTTTAGACACAAACGAGCAGTTAAACCTTGCAGTGGGGGGGTAGCCCCATTGCAAGGGTTAATAAAACGTTTCCCTGGAGTTCTTCCTTAAGGCCCAATCAAATGCGGCATTTTCCCGATTATTGGCGTGTTTGTGAATGTGCACAAACGCATGGAAAAAAGGGGAACGCATGTCAAAAAGTGTGACGTGCCATTGCCTTGCGTTTGATGCATGTCCAAGAACCCAATGGGGGTCAATGGAGACTAGCAACAAACCTGGCAAACAAACGGCCGCAAATGTGAGTCACCACAACCAGTGGCGACTCTAGGAACAATATATAGGGGGGGCACATAAGGAGAACAGTCAGAACTGGGGGGGCACTAATCATTTTCATTGCATGTCGCAACTGCTGGGCTCCGAGAGCAGATGCAACATGTAGTCCAACGCCGCCAACAATCCTGTACACCGCAACCGCCGGGCACTGATGCCATCCGCAATTAAATCGGTGACCGGCAGTTGCGGAATACAGCAGTGGCTGACTGGCAACTTTTAGCCCAGGGGGCAAGTACCACGCAGAGGTCCATGGTGCAGCAACTTGGCCCCCCTCACGCTCTACCTCTTCCCCCGCCTTCTCTCTGCCCGCCCACCTGCCACTTTTGCCATCCATGTAACACAGACATCCCAACTCTCCCGGACGCTCTGGGAGTCTCCCGCTATTAGATAGCGGCTCCCGGCCGCCCGGGAGAGAAACATTTTCTCCCGGAAAGGTTTACTCTGCTATATCTAGCAGAGTAAACCTTTCCCTGCGATCTGTTTTTTTTTCCCCTGACATTGGGGCTGCCGGCCACCATCAGTCAGAGAAAATAAATAAATAAACAGCATAGGAATGCATAGCTAGATTGCTATTGGCTATTTCACTTTGCAATAGCAGACTAGCTATTACACCTACCCACTGCTGCTGTCAATCAGCAGAGGGGGACCTGAAGTTCTTCATCAGGTCCTCTTCTAGTGATTGACAGCAGCAGAGGGCGGGTGCAATAGCCAGCTTGCTATTGGATATTGCAAATTGAAATAGCCAATAGCAATCTAGCTATGCATTCCTATGCTTTTTTTTTTATTCTGACAGCAGCAGCTGAATACAAAAAAAAAAAGAAACAGCAGATAGCAAAGAAGCTATTGCTTCCCGTGCTATCTGCCTCCCTGAAATGAGAAGGGCACCTCCCTTAAATTGCTTTCTTCAGGTTGGGATCCCTGTGTAACGGTACTGTGAATGGTACAGTGATGTGAGGACTTACTAGTAAGTCCATGAAAGGGGTGACTGGCTGGGGGGTGGTGCCCTCCTCCCACTGGGCTCCCTACATGGTTCTGGCCTTACTCCGCTACATGCCTGGGACTTAGGCACTCTCACCCACTGTAGGCCGCCACTGGCTGTCCATGCTTCTCGGCTGTGAGCTGCGGGAGGATAATGGGAGGAGCCAGATAGTGTCAAAGTCAGTGTTCTTTAATTTTTCTCGACCCTATACATTTTGTCGACTGTGTCACTTCCAGTGGGATCGAGTCATCCGAATCAGCTGTTTCCATGACCCCCTTTCTTAATGAAATGCGTACCTGGACGAGACGCGGTAGAGAAATTTATGGGTTGAGGAAAATTAAAGCACACTGGTAGTGGAGGGATGCCTTGTCAGTGCTGTGCGCATGCACGACTGCTGTGACCCTGGTAGTTCTGCCACTAAATCCAAGCTGTAGAGGGACTACAAATCTCAGCACATTATACAACAATGTAGAATAATACCAACAGCTATAGAGGACTAAAAATCCCAACAATACATTATACAGCAATGCAGAATGGCATCAGCTATAGAGGACTACATAATACAGCAATGCAGAATAATATGAAGCTACATACTCTATGTTGCTACGGGTTCGCTACTTGATGTCTTCAGGGTCTCGGGAGGGTTGTGTGGGCTCTCAAAAGGCTGTGCGGGCTCTCAGGTAGCCAGTGTGAATGCTCAGGTGGCCAGTGTGAGGGCTCATCGGGGTCCAGAGAGTTTCACAGGTGCGTGCGGATGACGCAGAGGCGCTCCCTACTATTAGATAGCGGCTCCCGGCCGCCCGGGAGAGAAACATTTTCTCCCGGAAAGGTTTACTCTGCTATATCTAGCAGAGTAAACCTTTCCCTGCGATCTGTTTTTTTTTCCCCTGACATTGGGGCTGCCGGCCACCATCAGTCAGAGAAAATAAATAAATAAACAGCATAGGAATGCATAGCTAGATTGCTATTGGCTATTTCACTTTGCAATAGCAGACTAGCTATTACACCTACCCACTGCTGCTGTCAATCAGCAGAGGGGGACCTGAAGTTCTTCATCAGGTCCTCTTCTAGTGATTGACAGCAGCAGAGGGCGGGTGCAATAGCCAGCTTGCTATTGGATATTGCAAATTGAAATAGCCAATAGCAATCTAGCTATGCATTCCTATGCTTTTTTTTTTATTCTGACAGCAGCAGCTGAATACAAAAAAAAAAAGAAACAGCAGATAGCAAAGAAGCTATTGCTTCCCGTGCTATCTGCCTCCCTGAAATGAGAAGGGCACCTCCCTTAAATTGCTTTCTTCAGGTTGGGATCCCTGTGTAACGGTACTGTGAATGGTACAGTGATGTGAGGACTTACTAGTAAGTCCATGAAAGGGGTGACTGGCTGGGGGGTGGTGCCCTCCTCCCACTGGGCTCCCTACATGGTTCTGGCCTTACTCCGCTACATGCCTGGGACTTAGGCACTCTCACCCACTGTAGGCCGCCACTGGCTGTCCATGCTTCTCGGCTGTGAGCTGCGGGAGGATAATGGGAGGAGCCAGATAGTGTCAAAGTCAGTGTTCTTTAATTTTTCTCGACCCTATACATTTTGTCGACTGTGTCACTTCCAGTGGGATCGAGTCATCCGAATCAGCTGTTTCCATGACCCCCTTTCTTAATGAAATGCGTACCTGGACGAGACGCGGTAGAGAAATTTATGGGTTGAGGAAAATTAAAGCACACTGGTAGTGGAGGGATGCCTTGTCAGTGCTGTGCGCATGCACGACTGCTGTGACCCTGGTAGTTCTGCCACTAAATCCAAGCTGTAGAGGGACTACAAATCTCAGCACATTATACAACAATGTAGAATAATACCAACAGCTATAGAGGACTAAAAATCCCAACAATACATTATACAGCAATGCAGAATGGCATCAGCTATAGAGGACTACATAATACAGCAATGCAGAATAATATGAAGCTACATACTCTATGTTGCTACGGGTTCGCTACTTGATGTCTTCAGGGTCTCGGGAGGGTTGTGTGGGCTCTCAAAAGGCTGTGCGGGCTCTCAGGTAGCCAGTGTGAATGCTCAGGTGGCCAGTGTGAGGGCTCATCGGGGTCCAGAGAGTTTCACAGGTGCGTGCGGATGACGCAGAGGCGCTCCCTAATTAGGCTCTCAGGTGGCCAGTGCGGACTGTCAGATGGCCAGTGGGGCTCTCTGCTGGCCAGTGTGGAATTTGTGGTGGTCAGTGTCAGTGGTGGTTAGAGGGGGCTCCCTGGTGGTTAGTGGGGGCTCTGTGGTGGCCAGTGGAGGCTCCCTGGTGTTTAGTGGGGGCACTCTGGTGGCTTCCTGGTGGATAGTGAGGGCTCCCTGGTGGTTAGTGGGGGCTCTGTGGTGGCCAATGGGGGCTCCCTGGACCCTGGTGACTAGTGGAGGCTCTGTGGTGGCCAGTGGGGGCTTCCTGGCAGTTAGTGGGGGCTCCCTGGACTCTGGTGATTAGTGGGGGCTCTGTGGTGGCCAGTGGGAGCTCCCTGGATGTTAGTGGGGGCTCCATGGTGGTTAGTGGGGACTCCCTGGATCCTGGTGGTTAGTGGGGGCTCTGTGGTGGCCATTGGGGGCACCCGGATGGTTAGTGGGGGCTTCCTGGACCCTGGTGGTTAGTGGGGGCTCTGTGGTGATAAACAAAAATGCATTGAAGAAAACAGTAAAACGTATAAAAAATGCACAACAAAAACACACAAAAATAAAAAAAAACACATGCAATTGTAGACACACAAGTGTGAATACCGACTAAATGGGCATATAATGTTATTGGACACATGGTCTCGGTTGAAAATGCAAAATGTTCTAATTCTTTGCTTGGATACAATCCAGTCAGTTTATTTTAGGAAGTCCACAGAGGGCTGTGGGAATCAATTGGTCATACCTGGAATATTCATTTAAATAGTGAGTAGGAGGCTGGCTGCTGCCTATCCCATCAGCAAATGACATTGGTTCTGAGAGAGGCATCTAATTTCATATTCATGACCTCTCCTCCCTTCCCCAACCTTAGCTCAGTCTCAGCGTGTCAGAGAGCTATATCCCACATCATCCTGTATTTGGGGTCTGGTAACACAGGGCTAGCTGGAGCTCTTGCCTTGCTTGCAGGATTTTTGCACAAGCACTGTGCAGCTTCCCCTCCCCTCCCTGTAGGTCCTGTGGCCACCAGGACCTGGCACCATGGTCAGCCTGCAGCTCTCTGTGATCCTACAGCTCACCTGCTTGTCCCTGGCACAGTTTGTAAGTCTCTTTTTTTACTTTTTTCCCTTCATCATTTTGTGGATGTATTCAAGGAGTCAAAGTCAACTTTTGGCTTTAGATGTGCTTTGATGCATAAATATATTGCGTGAATATTATTATTTTTTTAAACTGTTTTGTTTAAAATGACTTATTTGTGTTTAACAGGTTGATGTGCTTTTTAAATTTACTCAAAACAAATGTATTTTTGTTTTTTCTTTTACATTTAGTTTGGTAGAAAGTTTGGTATTAGGCTTTTTTTTTTTTTTGTTCAGAACGCACGGCTCAGAAATGTTGCCCAGGATTGTGCACAGAATCCTAGAGATTAGTGGTAGATGTGCTTTTACTTTAGGTTAAAAAAAAATGGTGTGGTAACCCATAGCAACCAATCTGGAATAGTGTATTGCAGGGATAGGAAACTTTGCCACTCCAGCTGTTGTGGAACTACAAGTCCCATGAGGCATTGCAACAATCTGACTGCCATAGGCATGACTCCAAGAGACAGAAGCATGATGGGATCTGTGGTTTCACCATATCAGTTGACTACCCCTGGTGTAGTGTGGTATTAATAACTTCAGGTTGCTTCTGGTTTACATGGTATTCGCCACACTATTTTATTTAATAAGTTAGAGAGAGAGATCAAGAGAGAGAATGAGATCAAGAGAGAGAGAGATCAAGAGAGAGAGAGAGAGATCAAGAGAGAGAGAGTGAGATCAAGAGAGAGAGAGATCAAGAGAGAGAGAGAGAGATCAAGAGAGAGAGAGAGAGATCAAGAGAGAGAGATCAAGAGAGAGAGATCAAGAGAGAGAGATCAAGAGTGAGAGAGAGATCAAGAGAGAGAGATCAAGAGTGAGAGAGAGATCAAGAGAGAGAGATCAAGAGAGAGAGAGAGAGAGAGAGAGCGAGAGAGAGAGACTGTTAATGTGTTACTAAATGGAAGAAATTTGATAATAAAATATAAAGATGCGTCACCTGCTTTTCTAGTAATTAAATTGATACATTTTATGGGCTTCTATATGAAAACTGCTATTTTGTTGCCCATTGCAACCAATCAAAAACAATGCAATGAGGGGAGTTTATCGAAACTGGAACAGACAGAATCTGGAGCAGTTGCCCATAGCAACCATTCAGCTTCTATCTTCAGTTGTTTCAGTTAAGCTTTGAAAATATAAACATAGAAGCTGATTGTTTTTTATGCAGAACTCCCTCCAATGTTTCCTTTTAAACTTTGCACCTTAGAAATCATACCAGGGAGTTGACGGGTTGCTATTGGCAACTAGACATTTTTGTTAGTACACTTTTCAGGCATAAACCCCACAGTCTTTACAAATAACTTATTTTGGTTCTATTCTATTGCTCATAAGAAATGCTTTATTTGAACACAATTTGACTTACAATGTAGTATTTTTTTTAGAAATTAGTGTCACACACATAAAGACATAGATGCCTGGCATTCTTCTTTATTACAAAGTGATATGAGCTTCCTTTAATTAATAAAATATTGAATCTACAATACTGAAAGAATGGTACAGTAAAGAAGCATTGAAGAAGAGAAAAGTAAATAGGTGAATGTAGTTCTTGTAGTCTGTAGTCATGATGCAGGAGGCATTTTTTGGAGCGGAGAGGGAAGGTGTCTATAGGTCAGGAGGCTGAAGGAATGCAGAGTCCTGAGACATTTGGCATTCATATGTGAGAACAAAGTTTGTCATTCAGCAGTCAGGAGTCTGATCCTGTTCCCCGCACACACACAGAGCCCCCGAACACAAACAAATGAAAGGACACGGTGCCTGCGGCTTGTTTAGGCATTTTTTTACAGTATCCTGCAGAGGAAGCCCCATACCATTAATTGTTAGCTTTTCAGACAAACACTGCCTTGTTTATACATTTTCTGCTGGCGTGCAAACAAACACAGTGAAGAATTGCGTGTATTCACTCTCTTACTTTTATTGTAATACTCAGAATGCTAGTGACTCTTTATTGTCACACTTTAGCATCCATTTACACTATATCAATACTAGTTGTTGTAATATATTGCTCAAAAGCATGGAATATCAACCTTTTATTCAATGTGAAATACTTTTGGGCTGCATTTATGAATATTGTCAATGACCTATCTATCGGAAGTTTATCTAAAACCAGGCCCACCAAGTGCACAAGGCCTAGGCTATCTATACTCTGCCAAACAAGGCATTACTATTTGCAGCTTGGTAATTATATCCCTGTACAATGTATCATTATTATTACTGTTCATTTTAAATAGTAATGGTATATCTCATGGCTTTTAGCAGAGGGCATTACGTCATTAACTATTGCCCTTGCCCCAGTAAAGATGTCAATCTACCACCCATCCAGTAATCACAGCACAACAAGAACCCTGTAGGGCCTACCTACTTGGACAGCAATCAAACTGTCTATTGCAAAGATTTTGGATTGTGAGACTAAACCAGAACTCCTTGTTTTGTAAATGCTTTACAAACATGGAGAGAAGGTTTAAAGTAACAGAGGGCACTAAGTCATTAACAATAACCCTTGCCTCAGTGAAGATGGCAATCTACCATCCATCCAGTAATCACAGCACAACAAGGTCCCTTTAGGGCCTACTTACTTAGACACCAATCAAACTGTCTATTGCAAAGATTTTGGCTAGTGAGACTAAACCCGAACGGGTTAAAGTAATGTTACAGCTCATGGCTTTTAACAGAGGGCACTAAGTCATTAAAAGTAACCGTTACCTCAATGAAGATGGCAATCTACCACCCATCCAGTAATCACAGCACAACAAGAACCCTTTAGGGCCTACTTACTTAGACACCAATTAAACTGTATATTGCAAAGATTTTTGCTTGTGAGTCTAAACTAAAACTACTTTGCAAACATAGAGAGATGGTTCAAAGTTTTTGGTATTAACAGAACACATGACTAACCAATGGAATTGTATGCTTTGCTATGCCGTGCTTTCATTCTTTCTGAGTTGTCCTTTGTTTTTATTTTTCCATACATGCTTGATGTTATTTGATAATGTAATCTTTGGGTCCAGAAAGTAGATGTCTGGCCCCTGCTCTAGGTTAAAGGACTTGGGCCTGTTTTGTTCTGTCTGGTGCCTTTATTCCATGCAGAAGCAGAGGGGCACTATAGTGTACGGCAGGGGTGGACAAATTAGTATGGAATTCAGGAGCCAGGAGGTTTTTTCTATGAGCCAGCTCTATTGACAACCACTAGAGAAAACCTCAAAAAATAGGAGCCAGCTGTAATTTCTAAGGAGCATTGGCTACCAGGCTCCTGGGATTTGTCCAGCCCCGGTGTACAGAAAATATAACCAAAAGATATCCACATATCAAGACAGAAGATAGTAGCTGGAGATGGAATATTTACAAAAGCACATTGTTAGTACAAGTGTCCTACGTTAACAAGGGAGGTCACGGGGTCCCTTTTTGCAAGGCCTTGTCTAAACAAGGCCTTAGATTGTGCTCTGCTATAGCACATAGGGCTTTGTTTAACAAGGGTGGAAACATATCTTTTCTTTTTTAATTCTTCAAATTCTGGCAGGTGAAAATAAGACAGCAATATCTATTTTGCTGGTAGATTCCAGCAAGTTATATAGACTACCGGCCTTTAAATGACCTGATGTAGTCCTAGAATGCTGTAGGAGGCTGTACAGGAAGGTGGTATAATTGAATTTGCCTCACTGCACCAGATTCCTTACAGGTTTTTAAATTTTTTTAATCTTCACTTGCCATGCCGAACATTTATAAACTAAAGTATATTAGCCGAGAATTAGGACCAAGTGCAGTAAATTATTAACAATAATTTCGCCTTTTATTACTATTAGTAAGCCTCAAGATTTACTGTAATAAGCCAGTGCAAACTATAAGGCATGCACAGTGCATTGCAAAGCGGTCAATCAAATTTCACCTTTCATCTATTCAACATCGGTTTACTCAAAGTTGAATTATGATTGGAAGCAATAGATTATTCCATTTTGTAAGCTGTTCTACAATGTATTTAATGAGCTGGTATTGTTCTCTTGTCATGTACTAAATTACAGTTTTTCGCCAGCAGAGGGAATTCATTTCAGGTAAATGGAAAACCTAATAACTAGACACAAAAGCTTTAATGGTATTTTTTAAACAAGTGGTTCATAAACAAAATTTACATTTATAAATAATTTAGATGACACATTGTATTGCCCTTACACATTACTGCATTTGTGACATAAATAAAACATTCACTACGAGGCAGGCTTTATTCATTTCAAACACTTGTGGCATTAGAAGTTGCAATGTACCAACAGATGCTTCCATATAGGTTTTCATATGCCACTGGAAAAGAGAGGGAAGATTGCGCATTTATGAAGTTTTCTCCTTTATGGAAGATAGCAAATGCCTATATCTATTTTGTTTTGGTTTTTGCTAGTGTCCCATTACTGCATTAAAGTAATGTTTGTATTGTATCTTGTATTTTTTATTTCCAAGCAATCATATTGTATTGATTTGTGTGTATTTGTATTCAAGAACATTTAAACATTCATTATTACACACCCTAATATGTTTATACTGCTTCCTATAACTAAAGCTGGCCTTTGATGTATATATAATGTATATGATATGTTTATCTAATCTTCCTCTCTTTATTTTTTAGAGAGGTCCTCCAGGTCCACCAGGGTCTCCCGGTCCACCAGGCCCATCAGGGATCCCAGGATCAGATGGCATAGATGTGAGTACACAATCCAGGAACAAAGAGGCTCTGTGTGTACCAGACTTAGAGGTTGAGCACATTTGTAAAAGAAACACTAGATGGCGACCTTATGCAGTATCACAGCACAACGTCTTCTTCACAGCATAGTTGACCGTTAATTAAATAAGGCTCAGTCTTATAATTTTTTTTTAACCAAAAATCATATAGCATTATAAGTCATTATATCGCTTACTTTAACTCTTTCATTGCACAGGTCATAAGTGGTGTTCTCGCTTTATACCACAACTGGACTAAAAATGGTTTAGCTTCCTCTTATAAAGCATAAACATAGCATGCATTTTAGGATCGTAACATTTATCACAATATGGATTTTAAAAATTGTCAATACAATCTAAATAAGATACATAGTGTTTGGAATGATATATTAAGCAAGATATTTGTTTAATGCAGGAGCTTTCTGTACCGGTGAAATTTTGAAACAATAGATCCCATAAAGTAGATTATCACAACTTTTTTTTTTTAATGAACCAGTAAAAGTAATTGATTAAAATACACTTTACTTAATTTCAAGCTAACCAATGACCCTGAAGCTAACCCAATACCAAAACCTAGCCTATAACCTAAACCTAAACATTATTAAGTAACCGTTAAACTTGTAGGCTATGTTGGCTTTTCAAACCTCGTTTCATGTTACACCCATATTTAGGGTGTAATATGAAACATGGTCACATCCC